CAAAAACTAAAATATTATATACTTGTAGTTAAAAATAAGCACATGAGTTACCTAAGAGTTCTAGAGAGCCCCCTTATGTGGCAACAAGAGGGTTTTCCAACAGGAGACAAAACAGATATCAGTGTTGTTAAACGCTACTTTTAGAACTAGTGCGCTATCGCTAACGCTATTTTATAAAAAAAGTAGCGCGCTATCGCTACCGCTATCGTTTTCAAATGAGTAGCTAAAGCTACTTTTTACGCTTCTTTGATTTTTTTTTTAAATATTTTTTTTACGTAACTTTATTTCCACAAATAAAATATTGATATAAAAACATGACTATAATTTGTTACATATATATATATATAATTTATTTATTATTGCACTTTAATAATAATAACATTTCGGTACTGTCATCCCCAAGTCTAGAGTGACGTTTAGAAAGTATAAGCTTTGCCATACTAAATAATCGTTCAGCACTAGCACTTGAGGGCAACGCAGTATTAAATTTAATAAACAAACTTTTTATATGAAAAAAATCATCAAAAATATTTAAATTAGTATTTTTAGATTTAAAAAAAGCATCTAGAGGTTAATTAAAAATACTTCTGTATATTCTTTAATAAAAGTATGCTCCTCCACATTAAAATACTGTATTCCCATTTGATCCAATATATAATTCATTTCCATTTTTTTCTCATCTAGAAACAATGCTAAAAGTTTCATAGCATTGTAAACACTATTCCATCTTGTAGTGTTTGGTGTCAATAAATAACGTCCTAATTTTTTTTTGAAAATATCAGACGTCTTTGATGACTTATTTTGTTTATTCCAAAGAGCTTGGCATTTAGAAAATGTAGATCTTGATACTCTTTTAAAATCCTCATTTAATAATGCTTCTTCAGCATCCACTGTCGCAACTAAATTTAGGTTGTGGCAGGAACAACGATGATGGCTAGGTAACATAGAAGACTTTATTGAAGATCCTAAATATTATAAATTTTATTTTATATTGGTGAAAAATTAAATATAAAATAATTTAAAACCAAGGATGTCATGAACATCAATTATCTCAAACTCCATTTCATCATCCTCTTCTTGTTTTCCATCTTCAATATTTTTGTCAGGAATTTTACTAGTATTGTTATTATTATCTTCCCCAAATATTCTATATTATTTATATCATATTATAAAAAAATTATAATAAATTTAAAACCTGAAGGCCTTCAGGAAATTAGACCCATTATCCGTAATCATCTTACAAACCTTGTTTTGAATTTTGTAAGACTATGGATTTCTGCAATAATATTGGATAGAATGTCATAAGTCTGACAGCCAATTATTCTCTTTAGAGCTAACGCTACAGATTTTCGTTTAAGATTTTTAAGATCAATCCAATGTGCAGTTACTCCTAAATAAGCTCTAAAAATATGACATATTATAAATCAGAAAATAAACATTTTTACCTTCTATTGTGAGTCCAGCAATCTGCCGTTGTACAGACGTAGGAGACATCTGATAGATTTAATATCAAAGATTCTTTCATTTCCTTAAAGCTCTCCAAAATTCTTGCCATCAATGTCTGCCGGCAAAATATCTTGGTCCGTGGAGAAAAAGTGTTTATCATCTTTATAAAAGAATCATTTTCCACCAAGGATAATGGTTGAACTGTATCTATTATAAAGTTCATAATGACTTTGTCAGCCAATTTTTGGGATACACCAGGTGTTGATGAATCCAAATTGGTTAATTTTGTTTGTATTAAATTTGATTTGGAAGTGGGTTTATCTTCTTCCATTACCCCAAAACTTTTGAGATATTTTTCAATCTCTTTATAATTTGAAGTGTGCACAGTCTAAAATTATAAAATACTTAGAATAAAAATTATGTAGGAGATAAGTACATAAAAATGATTGAAATAACTATTTTAAAATGTTTTAAATAATTTAGATAAAATTTATGAATATATACAAAAAATGATTGGTTTTTTATTTTAATTTATTTTAAAAATTAAAGATTAGCCTACACATTGATATTAAATTTGTTTAATATATTACCTTTAAATGTTTTTTCAAATTATAGCTGCTCGTATGATTTGAGGAGATAATTTTGCGGCACATCTTGCACCGAAACCGATATCCAGTATTAATTTTTTCTTCAAGGTTAAAGTATTTCTTGAATTTTGGGAAAGGATCATCTATATTGCTCATTTTCCAAAGAAATTTCAATATCTTCAACAATCTCACACATAATAAGATTTATAATGCTTAATATAAAATGTAAAATGAAATATAAAATAAGATAAAAGCAAGGACATATCAATAAAGGAATTTCAAAAATATATAATTTAATGAATGCGTGAAATATTAATTAAATACAGATTGCTATTTAACAACTGTTTATATCTAAAATATAACAATAATGTATATTTTTAAATATAAATATAAATTTCAAAATTAAATTAAATAAAAGGATTATAATTTTAGATTTTATAAAAAATATATTTTAATAATTTTTAGATGTATTTATTATGTAAAATGCTACTTCGCTACTTTCTAAATTAGTAGCGAGCTACCGCTATCGCTATTTTTTTAAAAAAGTAGCGCGCTATAGCTACCGCTACTGAAAAAAATAGCACGCTATTTTAACAACACTGACAGATATATACATTATAAGATTAAATAATTTCACTTTGTATATGTTGAAGATAGAAATATCGATAGTCAATTCAAACAATTGAAAGATGGTGGTTTCACTTAAAACAATATTTATAAAATCCGGGACGGGCCGGCCTTGAATATATAAGTCCCGGGTCATGCCGAGAAACCCGGACCGAATATTTTTTTAAAAAATACGACACGGAATTTTTCTTTTAAAAAAAATCCGCGCTATGCAAATGATACCTCTGCAGGTCTTTGTTATTAATAGGGTCATATATAAAAAATAATGAATATTAATAAAACACTTTTAAAAATGCTAAAAAATCATAAACAATACTTAATTAATAAAATCACATTTAAAAATGCATACACCAAATTCTGTGAAGAAATAATGAATCCAAAAATTTTTCAAATTGATCTACAACAACCTTACAAGAAAACGGGGAAGATTTAGTTGATGAAGGATTATTTATCAAAAGATTTTTATTAAAGAAAAAAAATTATTTATATGTTGATTTCTATATCTAAAATATAAAAATATTTTTTTAAAATATATATTATATGATATGAGGGAACTTGTAATGGTACACGAAATTATTATTTTATTTTATTCTTTTAAAATATTTAATTAATAAATCAAATAATTTTGGCTTAAAATTGAACTCGATTTAACTCCTGAGCCAGAGCCGCAAAGACTCGTCTTTTAACAACACTAATGTCGAGATAGGCACATATTAAATTCGTAGAGCTCTGCTTTTGACTCAAAAACGACTTATAATTTATGAAATTCCTCATCTACATTTACCCTGATTTCCTTAAGTTCCAATAATTGCCTTCTGCTATTCTCATGGTCTCAATCTAATCATTTGGTGAAAAAATTTTAAATGGTAGATAAATATATCGCCAAGGAAAATTTGAAATCGATATTAATTCATAGAATAAATTAGTAGTGTATTTATTTCTGTTTAAATAAATGTAAATTGCAATATATATGTCATAAGAAGTAAGATGATTATTATTAAATATAATTTAATAATAAATAAACAGTAATATTTTTGAAATTTTAGCCGGCTAATAAATTTTGGTTCCCCGCTGCGTTGGCTCAATATTCGTTATTTAAAAGAATAAATGTTAATTGAGAATATTTCTTATATATTATATATTCTTGAAAATAATATTGATGGATGTTATATGATTTTTTGACAGGATTCTAATAAAAATTAATTTGATAATACCGGGCAACACTAAACTGCTTGGTCTAAAAAATACTGTCTATTTGGAAATAATTTTCGCTGCATCCCCAAGTCTTTACTCAACAATTGCTTATAGCACCTGAGAATAATATAAAAATTATCGAAACTGGATTAAGACTAGTGTTGTTAAACGGCTCGATTTGAGTTGATTTTTAAAGCGGTATGTTTTATTCAGAAAAATATTATGCAAGCTAATTTTGCTCATAGATGGCACAAAGGTTTGGACATCTATTAACGAAATCCAATATTTTTTTCTGGCTAAAATATTGAGTTAAACTGTTAAACACTAATCAAGACTCGCCAACTAAATTTATGATTATTATTAAAAGATATCTTAATAGCTTTCGATTGATTCTTATATTGTATGTGTCATAGAAAGTTAAATTCATTCCTGACCATTTAGACCCTCCTATATAGAAAGAAGATGAGTATTGCTGCCAAAATATTTTTTCATTGACTTTTATTTCATACCTAATCATATATTGTAAAAATTTATAAATATCAGCGCCCCTCCCCCAAGACCCGCCCATGATGATGATTCTAAACCCCTCTATGATTATTGTAAAATATTATTTTAACCAGTTTTTGATTGATACCTATATTGAATTTATATATTATTAAATTTAATTCATTTCTCACCCCCCCCCCCCCAAACCCACCCATTAGGATTATCGAGTGTATTAGTCAGAAAATTAAAAAAACTTTAATTAGATTTTCTACCCTTAATATTAATATTTAAAGGTTATTTATTGTTATATTAAAATATATATTGGAATCGACCAGAATCGGATTTAGTTGGAAAAATTGCCATCGATTTGGGTTCATGTGAAAATACAACACATAATTTTGTTCGGATAGAAAAACGATCCACACTTTGAGTCGGGGACATTTTTTCGCTTCGACTCCGGTCGAAGTCATTTTTTTCGGGTCGAAGTTGAAAAAACGACCAAAATTTTGAATAAGAGTTGCGACGCGACTCATGGCATTTTATCAACAATATATATAAAAATTAATAACCTATTAAATTCTCGCCGGATCCAAAAAATGATCCGGTAACTGTATGTGGCACATCTCCACTTATTAATCGAATATTTATTTATATTAAAAGGGGTTCGCTTTCACGATTTCCATCACATGAATTTTGTTGGAAACTATTCATCCACGTTTGTTTGGTGGGATAAATTATTCGGAACAGATTCTCAGTACAACAGGTTCAAGGAAAAGCAGCGACTACAGTACACCTTTTAATTTTATCTTTTAAAAAAAATATTTTGTAATTATGTCTGTTTATATTAGAGATCTGCAAATATCAAAATTTTCATGTCCGGCCCGGTTGGGATTTAGTTTCCTCTCAACTTGATCCGTCCAAATTTGTACTCGGTTCGATTCCAATTTTTTACTAGGGTTGCCCGGTTCGCCCGGTTTTTTTAAAATCCATAAAAATAACCAATATAAATTATAGAATAAGTTTGATGATTTCCTTTATTAAAGCAATAAACACAAAATGCAATAAAAGGGGATCGATTTTATGAATGGTCATAGAAGCATGTCATCTTTAATCATATAAAATAATAAAGCAAAATAAAAAAATATATATATTATAACAAAATTAAACTTTTAAAAATCATTTTATTTCTATTCTCTATTAAGCGCATCAAGCATATCTACTTTTGTTAAAGAAAGAAAGAAAAGGGCCGCCCTTATTTTTTTGACCGCCCTTATTTTTTTGACCGCCCTTATTTTTTTGACCGCCCTTATTTTTTTGACCGCCCTTATTTTTTTGACCGCCCCTGCCTAAATAAATTTTTTTCAGATAGGTCAGACGTTGCAGATCTTTAATTTATATTAGATACCTGCAGGGAAAGCCCTAATCAAAATCCTAACTCGAGGTAATACATGCCGATCCATTAAATTTAAGAAAAAACACTGACCGATGAGATTAAATTAAAAAAAATATTATATTAATTAATAAATTTATTTATGCTCATGTTTTCAAATTTTTGAAATAATTTACAAAATTTAAAATTTTCCAATAGTTTCATAAATTTCTCAATAATAATAAAAAATCTGACCTTACTTGAAAATGATATTTTTTTACCGCCAAATCTTGATCAGGCTCTGCGGGTTTCTTGATTTATTATATAAAAAAAAATTTTCTTCTAAATTCAAAATTACGCATAATTTTTACAATGACGCTTTAAAAATATTTAGGAGCTCAAATAAAGATTATGACGAATGCTCCCAAAATTTTACATCAAATGCGAATAACGGGAGGGTCGAAAGCGGATATTTTAAAGGAGATTGCACTAGAAAAGGACTATAAGATGTCAAGAGCGAGCGATTTAAGCTAACGCTTAAATATCTTTCAATACGTTTTTAAATAGCTCGATTGTATTTTTTCTATTTTTTGACCATGTTTACTGCGATTAATCATAACTAAGTCCTTAAATTCATCAGAATATTTTATATATATATATAATATGCAAATCCGATTTTTTTTGCATTTAATATTTTGATATCTTTTAATGCAAACATATTTCCAAATAATTTGCACTCTCTCTCATATTATACAAACCTTAGTGAATGATTTATAAAGAAAATATTTAACTCAAAATCTTCCTTAGCTGCACATTTTTTTTTTGTGAATGAAATTTTATATTTTTACACGATTTGATATTATTGAATAATTATTTTATAAAATATAAATAATTTTTTTTTAAATCCATGATATTAGCAAAACAGTTGATATTTAAGAAAAAATTTCCAAAATTATTAAGTGTGATAAAGAAAAAGCATTATATATTACAATTTAATATGATAGATAATGTTTAAATTTTATTTTTTAACAATATTGTCATAAAATATTTTCGAAAAAGCTCAATAGATCAAGTCAATTTATACAAATATACTATTTATATAATCTTTTTGTCCTCATTTATAAATCAATAAAATTTTATAATAGAATAAATTTATTTAATGTTAGTTATATTTTGATTTGTTCATGTAACTTTTATTATTTAGTAACTTTTAACACTCCTCACTTACTATCGTTTATAAAAATGAATTAACACTTAATTTAGAACTACGTCTAACATCGGTACAGAAGGAAAAAGAGAAAGAATGACATACCTTTAACCCATCCCAGGTAAATCATTTAAGCTGGTCACATACAAGATGCATCTTCCCTAACAAGATAAGATTAAATGTTACGGAAAAACAAATTTTTTTAAAAAGCATCTAATATTAGAGAAATTGGTATTATATACTCGCCCTTCTACCTTTTCATATAAAAGAAGACATAGCCGCCAAATTTTGCTTATAATCCAGTTAATTATAATTATGCTTAATATTATCTTAGTCATTTTACGAATTATTTATATTTTACTATAACCATTTAATAAATATTACTTATTTCATATTCTAAGCTGCTTATTTACGAATTCCAATTTTAAAATGGCCACCCTAGTTCGTTACTTTATGATTTTTTAATACTTAGTCAAAATTGGGGCCTTTTAAAGGCCACCCTAGTTTCTATTTATCCCATGACTTTATTTAGGCCCATTTCTATAAGGCACTACCAATTAATCCAGCTTGTTTTTGGTTTCCTTACGGTCTTGTTCCTGCAATTTTCAACAATTAAACTTTTCACCCAATCATCCTCCACCATGTGCCAAATCATATCAACCTATTCCTTCTCATAACATCACCTGTTGTTTTTCTCCAAGGAGATACCTCCGTATCCATTTATTTATTATCCTCCTTTCTTTTCCAAATTGACTTTTTAGCGGCCTTATTGGCTAAATCTTGCTACCACACATCATAAACTCCATAATATACATAACTGTCCTGAAGAATTGCAATCATAAATCTAAGTTCTTCCCCTAATATAGTCAATTCTCAAACATTTTCAACACACTCCTGCACAATTCTCATACCTTCTTGCGTTATCTGCGGAATTCTAATTTCACGGGGAGGAATAATAAAAAATCCATTTAATACTAAGAAATGTGATTTCTTTCTGCATACACTTTTCATGGAACCTTTTTAGAACCAATTTTCTAAAATAAATACATTGGATAGAATTTCTAGCAACATATTTTAAACATGCTAACTCCCTATCTCTTCCATATTTTTTATCCCACTCCTTCAAATCATCATCTTTCATACATTCATTTTAACCAAAACGATGGCTTATCGGTTTCATTTTTCGCCAGCAATACAAGATCAAGAGGAATAGTTAAATATAGTGGACCTGCAGGTCAATAACTCGGGGCGCGAAATTGTATGATTATCCGGGGACATTACATAAAAAAATTAAAACCTCAAACATCTGGGCCGGGTTTTAAAAAATATATATATAAACATGCTTGATTTTCTCTTCTAATTTTTAATTTCTTTTTAAAATCATTTAATAAAATAGAAGAGATAAAAAAATCAGGCCGAACGTAAAAATATTAAAAATCAGGGCTAAAATGGGAATTTTTTTAAACTAAAATTCCTGATCTAAAATAATTTAATAATATATTATTCAATTTAAAAAAAAAATATTTAGTGATATTTTATTACAATATTTACTAAGAATCAAGACACCAGTTGGACACGTCTTTCTATTGTATCGTTTTTCAAACGGGTCCAGTTCTTATAAAAATTATTGATCATCTCATATAATATTATGATTTTAGTGTAATTTTATTAAATTTAAAAAAACTATATTTTAGGTTAAAAAAAATAACGTTATTTCCACTATTTAATTAGTGTCAAATTGCAAAATGAATGTCTCACCTGGAAGAGAAATAAAAAAGATATGGCTGCAACATTTTCATATCCCTTTCAATGTGATATTTTTTGTTATAGTCTCCAGTTTTTCAATTCGGATATATTTATATAACCTTGCTTATAAAAAATCAAATATTATTTTTAAAAAAATTATGTAAATTTAACTTTCATTCACAGTTAGCGGGAATTCGCGGCAGCATATAAAATATGTTGTATTTTTATATACTTCGTCATGCAGGATATTTGGGTTAAATTATGAACTTATTTCATTTTCATTTTTTTTTATTTTAGAAAATCATAATATATTTCAAATATATTCATAATTATTTTTTTTGCGTTAATTATGATATTAATTAAAAGAACTTACTTGTATGTGCAGTTGGATAAAAAAGGGTGAAGTTTTGAAAATGTTTATAGCTGATAATTAGGCACATTTATGTCTCTCGCTTTCCTTAAGAAAGAACTATTACGGGTCTAGCCGGAAAATTTGTACAAAATATATTTTACGGACAAGACCGAGCCTGGTAAAAAAAATCAACAGAAAATTTCAACGGGTCGGGTCCTGTCCGACCTATATCAGTATCATTTAAAATGATAAAGCGTAAAAGGTGATAATGAGATAAGAAAGAAAAAGGGTGAAATTTAAACTCTCACTCTATGATAAATTTCGCCACTTTCTTTAGATAAAAATATACATTTAGTTTTTTAAGGCCTCCCATACCGTTTATTTAAATTTTCAATAGACAGAGAAACTGTTATTGAAAAATTACTTGCCAAATTTTTTTGATAATTAATACGTAAAATATATTTGGTTCAACTAAAAAGAAAGCATAAATAAGATAACTAGCGCCTCGATGTTTAAAATTTTTAAAAAAACGACTTTATAAATTAACTTATTTTTAGCCATCTGTCAAATATAATTATTATATTATACACATTAGGTCTAGATATATTGGATTTAAAAAATAGATACTATTATTTAATTTGGATACACTCATTAGATGACAAATATATATTATAATAATCCTAAATAAAATGAAGATTTGTAAAATTAATTATGAATTTTGTCGCAAAATATTTTCGAGCGAGGAGGGATATAGAGCATCATTTTGCAAGTTCGGTTTTTTTGGAGGAAGTTTAGAAAGGTGGAATGATAAGATAATGGATGTTTTTGAATATTAGGAGATGGCGTGATGTTAAATTAGTTGAAGAAATCTATCCATTAATGAATTTTTATCCATCAACTGAGAATAGAAAGCTATTTTGTTTAGCTCTGATTATATTATTTGTGATTCTTTGTTGAAATTAAAAACATTCCATTGGATAATCGGTCTTGGGTATAATGTAATTTCCTAAATCCTTGATGAAGCTTATTTACTTTGTGCTGCATTGGTAACAGTATCGTAGTTTAGATTGGGGCAGCTTCTACATAAGCGTTTGGATGAGATAGGTGCAGTTTGCTTCCAATTTTCTTTAAGGGGGTAGAGTAAATTTATTGGGGTTATCAATTAAATTTTTAGATGAAATAGAATACTTTAATTATAGAACCATTTACCAAATCCATATATTATATACAATCATGGTCATTATTTTTCAAATAAACCTTATTTTTGGATATCTTTTTAAATGTAATTTAAAAGGGTTAAATATCAGCAGACTATTCATGCCAAACAATATACTTAATAATGCCTTTATTGTAAATGGGGAGGTTTTGATCTATTTCATGTTTTTAAAAAAAAATCTTTTACATCCACAATTTTTGATAGTTGATAGTAGAGTATAGATAATATAAGTTATTCTTTTCAAAATATAAGAAGGGAGTAGTACCATATATGTAAATTAATAATGTGGAAATATCGATCCCGAAGAAAAAATTTGTATGAAGGTTATAAGTTCTTGAAGAGGGTTTGCTTTCAGTGAAGTGAATCTATAGATTATAGATCGTAGGTTATGAACTCATTACTCTTTCATAAGTACTACTAGTCCAGTTTTCTTGAGGGTGGAAAAAATGTCAAGATTTGAAGACATAATTTATAATATCGTCGCATTTAATATATCCTATAAATCTACTTCTACATTTTTTAAAGGAAATGCTGATCTTTTGAGCTTACAAGATTTTGACATAGTGTACATGAGCATGATATGTGTTATGACAGTTAAATACGAGCTAATTAGGTTATGACTAACATCATTATCTGGAAAGAGGTGGGAGGTGTTCCTTTCTCTTAATTATCATTAAGCCTAATAAAAAATCCCCCCCCCCCCCTTCCCCTAAAAATATATACAATATATCACTATAGACAAAAAAAATCATTTTAAAAAAGTTAAAACCCATAATTACTTTTATACAAGTCTAATACAGCCAAAATCCTATAATATGTAGAGCTAAAAACCTCTAATAAAATTTATGGGGGAAAACCCACCTAATAGTCTTCCCTGCTCCCCCTTAGAAAAAACCTGGCTACACATATACAAGATTACTTGAAGTAATGTTTTTATGATATTCATAACCTTTCTTTGACGAAGAGTAATGATTGTGGTGATAAAATTTATTGCCCCCGATGAAGCTGAAAAAATAAAGAGGTGACTTGGTTTAAGAAATACAACCAACCAAGAGCAGATCTCAGTTGCAATTGAAGGGGTTGACTAGGGAAAGATAAACGGGAGGATGTGAAATGCTTGCGGAATAGACTGTCTGCAGTCAAGATAATTCCCCGAATTTAAAATTGATCTTGCTTTCTATCAAGATTTTTACCCCATTCTCTTGTGTAGCAAGGATGGCAAGATATTGAAAAATACGCGACAACCTTAAGTAAAAAGAATTATTGAAATTCAAGTAATTCTTTAATAGAAGGAAAGTTTAATGAGCCGAAGTTGCAGTAGGTTGCGGGCATGTGTAAGATCATTTGAAGTCAAAAACTCTAGAAGAATCTTCATTGCCTAAGGGTGACCGTCACCTTCTCTTATGGTTGAATGATTGTACTAATTCTTAATAGTATTTGTTATTATGTT